GCCTGGAAGTCACGTGAAGTTCTCAGCCAAAACCGAACACTGGGATGGAATGAGTCCCTGGGCCTGGGCGTTCAGGACCACAGTCCAGGGGATACCGAAGTCAACTGGCATAAGACAGTCCACAAAACCATTCCCATCCTGTGTTGCTGAGGAGCGACTGGGATCTGAAAAGCTTGTGAGGAGCCATGTAAGGGGCAACTACTGGTCTCTCCTCATCCAGAGCAAACGAGAGGCCGGAAAAGACGCAGAAAACAGTTAGTCCACAGGACTAATGGCCCGCGTGGACCCCAGCCTCCAGGACCCTAAGACCAGCAGAAGTCGACGGTGCCCAGCTCCCACCGCTGACAGCTCTGAAAGGGATCCCAGCAGGAGGTCCCGGAGACAGTGGGAGAAAAATGTGAACCGAACTCGAAATCACAAAAAAGACCAGGATCACTGGTCTGACAGATTGGGGGAAGCCTGAGACCACGGGCCTTAGCCACCCTTCAAGGCCTGGAACGGAACCCCCGTGGGTCAACTTTCAGCCAAACCGTAGACAGATAGCCAGGCCTAGAAGGTGGGCATACCACCAGGGGGTACACACTCCCGGGCACAGGCAAGCACAGGAGATCCAGAGGGCCGCATCTGCCCGGGACGAGGCTCAGAGGGCAGGAAGGGCAGGAAAGAAGGTGACTGGGAACAGGAAACAGGGAGCAGCAGCAGGAGGGCAGGGCATGGTGGGCACGACTTTGAGCGTCACCAAACAAGTGAACGCACTGCTGAACGGAGACCAGCGTCCTCTGAAAACTTCCACCCACTAACAATTTACAAACGAGATTACAGCCTGGACACGCGACGGGCAGCCCGAGTGGCCGCATGGGTCGCCACGAGGTGAACTGGACTCAGCCGCATCTGAGGACAGCACCGAGAACACGTTCTCACCACCGTCGCTCCCGCACCAGGGGAAGCAGTAGCACAGAACACGGAGCCTGTGGTTCTCTTGGCAGGGAGCGAGCATCGGGCTTCTAGAAATTTCCAGAGGTGCTTGGCTGCTAGCTGGAAGGCTGGCAGATTGAACCCGCTCAGTGGCGCCGTGGTGACAGGCCCGGTGATCTGCTCACACAGCGTCGAGAGCCCGGTGGGGCGCAGTGCTACCCTGCACATGGGGTGGCTGTGAGTGCCACGAGCTCGGGCAGCCCGGCAACATGAGTTTCTGTGGTAACCCTCTTCGACCTCCACGGTGTTCAATGTGAAAGAATCTATGGGACTGAAAACCCACAGGCTAGCCCGCAGGGTCTCTTCTGACTGAGGACACCAGTGCCCGGGCGCTGGGCGGGAATGGCCGTCAGGGCTCCCCCGGGGACCGCGAGAGGCGCTCACTCAGCAGGCGGACCCGCTCAGCTGGGAAAGGTCTGCCCGCGGGGCTTCGGCCGTAGCGTGGGGACGCAGATTCACAGCAAACTCTCGCCGCGCCCAAAGTGACGGGGATGTCTCACTGCTCTGCAGCTTGTCGACGTGCCCTTGGTCTGGAAAGCTGGTGCGTGCCAGGAAATCACGTGCGGGAGGTACGGGTGACTGTGTCGACATGGCTGACAGCCCAGAAGCAGACGCCAGGCCTCTCCTCCGAGGCGCACCTAGGTGTGTCAGGAACCCCAGCCTTTCACCGAGCAGCCAAAGGCCTGACCATTCATACCGCCCAGGGACTCTGTTCTTGTCTGCGGTGTTCGGCGGAACTGGGAACCATGGACCTGCTCTGAGAACAGCACAGGGCCCACCACCGGTCCTGTTCAAGGAGAAACGGACAAAACAGACGAGGACGGCACAGAAGGAAGGAGACACTGAGGTGATGTGGCCCCTGCTGTGGGGATGGAAAGGGCCCCACAGCACGGAGCCTGAGCTGCCCGCGAGACTGAGAAATCCAGGTCGCAGACTCCCCCTCGGGTCCCACGGAGAGCAAGCCTGTGGACACCTCGGCTTTGGCCAGTGAGACCCATTTCAGAGCTGTGACCCTCAGAACCTCACATTCGTGCTCTTGCAAAGCACTGCGTCGTGTTCATGTTACAGCAGAAAGAGGAGGCTCATACGCTCCTGCTTGAGTTCTCTGCGGCATCAGACGAAGTGCAGGCACTTAGTGCCTTAAAGGAGCTCTGGTGGCACAGCAGTTAAGCACTCAGCTGCCAACTAGAAGGTCAGCAGTTTGAA